TTTCATAGATTGCTTTTATCGGATTGAGGTAGAGACTGTCTATTCCAATTTTTTGTAGGGTTTTTATCATAAATATGTGTTGGATTTTGTCATATGCTTTTTCTGCATCTATTGAGACGATCATATGGTTTTTGTCCTTGGCTCTATTGATATAGTGTATTACATTTATTGATTTGCATGTGTTGAACCATCCCTCATCCCTGGGATGAATCCCACTTGGTCAGGGTGTATGATCTTCTTGGTGATTTTCTGCATTCTATTTGCCAGTGTCTTATTAATAATTTTTGGATCTATGTTCATTAGTGAGATTGGCCTATAGTTCCCTTTTTCGGTTGGGTCTTTCTCTGCTTTGGGGATCAGGTGATGCTTGCTTCCAGAAATGAATTCAGGAGTACTGTTTCTCTTTCAATTTCATTGAGGAGTTTACACAGTAGTGGCAGTAGTTCCTCTCTAAATGTCTTGCAGAATTCAGCAGTGAAGCCATCAGGACCCGGGATTTTCTTAGTTGGTAAGTTTTTAATTACATTTTTAATTTCATCGATTGATATTGGGTCTTTTAGAATTTTCAGGTCTTCTTCATTCAACTTTGGTAATTCATACATATCTATGAATCTGTCCATTTCTTCTGTGTTTTCCATCTTATTGGCATACAGGTTCTCAAAGTGGTGTTGATGATCCTCTGGATTTCTGCTGGGTCCATTGTAATTTCATCCTTTTCATGCCTAATTGCATGGATTTGGACTGTTCTTTCCTTTTTCTGATAAGTTTGACTAAAGGCTTGTCAATTTTGTTTATTCTTTCGAAAAACCAACTTTTGGCTTTATTGATTTTTTTGTATCCATTCTCTTAGTCTCCATCTCATTGATTTCTCCTCTAATCTTTATAATTTCCTCCCTTGCATGAGCTTTGGGTTTGTCCTGCTCTTCTTTTTTCTAGAAGCTTGAGGTTCAGCATCAAGTTGTTTAATTCAGCTCATTCTGTTTTCCTACTGTGAGTATTCACTGCTATGAATTTCCCTCATAAGACTGCTTTCATTGTGTACCATACATTCTGATATGTTGTACTGTAATTGTCATTTAATTGTAGGAACTATCTGATTTCTTTTTTAATTTCCTCTGTGATGCATTGGTTATTCAGAAGTGTATTGTTCAATTTTCATGTATTTATGAAATTTTTGCAGTTTCTTTTACTATTGATCTTCAATTTCATCGCAGTATAGTCTGATAATATAAAGGGAATAACTTCAATTCCTTTGCACTTACTTAAACATGTTATATTAGTGAGTATGTGGTCTACTTTGGAGAACAACCCACTAGCAGCTGAAAAGAATGTGTATTCTGATTTTGTGGGGTGGAACACTGTAAACATCTGTTAAGTTCATTTGTTCAAGAGTTCAACTGAGTTCTAGTATTTCATTCCTTATTTTTTGTCTAGTTGATCTATTTGTGGTTTACTGAAGTCCCTCACTCCTATTGTATTAGTGCTTATATGATTTTCATGCCAGTTAGTATTTGTTTTATGTAGTTGGGTGCACTATTGTTTGGTGCATATACATTAATGATTGTCATCTCTTCCTCTTGGATTGGTCCCTTTACAAGGGTGTAGTGTCCTTCTTTGTCTCTTTTTTTTGGTCCTGGGGAACGAACTTGGGACCTTGTGCTTGGGACCTTGCAGGTGACAGAACCACTGAGCTAAATCCCTGGCCCTTTTTTCTTCTTTCTTAATTAATGTTGGCTTGAAATCCACTTGATCTGCAAAGAGGATAGCTACTCCTGCTTTTTTTGGGGTTCCTGTCACCTGGAGTATTGTTTTCCACCCTTTAACTTTCAGTCTATGAATTTCTTTTTGAATTAAGTATGTTTCTTTATGCAGTATATTGTTGGATCTTGCTTCTTGACCTATTCTTCCAGTCTATTTCTTTTGATTGGTGAATTGAGACCATTAACATTGATGGTTATAACTGATA